TCACAGGACTGAAACAATCCAGGGCCATTCAACCATCATGGACACAGAACTCCCTGCTCCAAGCAGCCTGCTGGTAATAAACTGCTCTCCCACAGATGCTGCCCGCAGGGAGCAGCAGAGAGAGGCAGGCTAAAGTGCACGTCCGGTCCTCCTGACAGTTAATGTTATAGGTTTCAAATTAATAAATCACCCTTTTGGGGCTGGGGATTTAACTCAGCAGCATAAGCACCTGCCTTGCAAGCAGGCAGTCGTGAGTTCAATCCCCGGTACCGATAAAAAGGAAAAAGACAAAAAAAATAATAATACTAAATCACCCTTTTTCTACATCATCCAGGTCCTGAGCTGGGATGAGCTTGTCCCAGAAAGCTGGGTCTCTTATGGATGGTTCAGAGGAGCACAGGACACTCCCTCTGAATGACCTGCAGGGCTGTGCCCAGGCAGCCGGATGCCCTGGCAGGAAGCGGGTCCTGGGGGCTTGAGGCATGGCTGAAAAATACAGGGAATGTTTACACTGTTAACATGCACTACAGCAGAGGACACCTGACCATGAATTCCTCCTCGCTTTGGACAATACCCTTCCCACCGTCCCTGCCGCTTCCTACAGCAGCTCTGGAGTCCTCTTTCCTGAGGGTCTTTCATTGTGAGTCCTGGATGCCTTGACATCTTGAACGGATTTGAAACACTTCCCTCTCGTGGTCATTTTGACTTTTGGGAAGAGCCAGAAGTCGCACAGTGCCAGACCCAGTGAATCAGGGGGATGAGGACCAGCGGCCTGTTTCCAGGAGCCGCCTTTCTGTTGGGTGGCACTGGACAGCAGCATTCACTGTATTTTTGATTGCATCTCATTGAAGACACCAGGAAAGAGGGCTTCCAGAAGTGCTCAGACAGCAGCAAGGAGGACGGGGTGAGTGTGTTCAGGGGAGGCTGAGTTTCAAGAGCAATGCCTGGCAACATGTCCTGTACTGGAATAATTTTTAATGTAAATATTGAAGGCATACGCTGGTCTTTCCTCACAGGTACCTTAAAGACAGCCCTCAGCTCTTTCTACACAAAAGTTAGGAAGATGTGGGGAAGTGAGCAGAACCCTTCAAGATATCCTGCGTAGAAGGAGGTAAGTGTGAACAGATGCCAAGTCTTTAAAAGGAAGGAGCCTGGCGCTGTGGTGTGTACCTGTAATCTCAGAGGGCTGAGGCAGGAGGATCATGAGTTCAAGGCCAGCCTGAGCAACCCTAACCTCAAAAAAAAAAGTATTAAATGTAAGATATGTTTGTGGTGGGGAAGTGGGGTAGGAGAGTGACCTGAGGGGATCAGAGACAGCGGGAGAAGCAAGATTAAAATCCACAAAGCCAAGTGTCAGAAAGGTGTCGGCCTGGGAGGGAACAGGCAGAGAAAGGCGGAAGGAAGAGGCAGGGGTAGCTGAAGAGACCAGAGCCCTGAGGGCCGGGAGAGGGGTGGGGCGCTGTTCCAGGCAGACTGGTCCCGTCCCCCACCCCCACCCCTGCCTGCCATCTCAGAGTCCCAGGGGACCTGGGAGGCTCCCACCAGCTGGGTCTTCGGCTTCTCTGAGCTGTGGGTGCTCTCTCCGTGGCCCTCAGGGAAGGAGCAGCCCCAGCTTGGCTTCAGGAGCCCTCCCTCCCCCCAGCAGCTGCCCTCCTCTCCTTGTAACCCTTTCCTCCCATGTCTCCTTCCCTCTGCAGGCAGAGCCCTCTCTGGAAGAACCAGAGGGTAACACCCAACTCGGTCACTCTCTGTCCAGTGTGGCTTCCAGAGGGTCACTCCTTCTGGCGGCTGGGTCCCCAGGCCTGCACCATAGAGGTCTCAGTACCACTCCAAGCCCCTGTACCTAAGCACCTGTTCCCTCATCCTTGTCCTCCCCAACCTGGTTGTTCTCCATCTCCCTTTCCCTCCCCTTTGCACCCCAGTGTCCTGGCCCCTGACTTTGCTCCGTGTTTCTCTAGGTTCATCTCACCTCCTCTCCCAGTCCCACTGAGAGCAGCGAGGAGGGGACCCCACACCCCAGTGAGCTTGGGAACCGCAGCCAAGCTGCAAGATCTTCCTCAGCCCTTCTGGTTTCTCGCTGCCTCGCCGGCCTCTGGTCCTAACCCTGCTCACACCGCCCTTGAGCCCCAGCTCCCTGGGGCCAGAAGAGAAAAAGCCTTGCTGTCCTCCCTCACCTGGACACAGTGACACACAGTGAGAGATACAGTGACCCTGATCAGACAGCCCCAGCAGAGCGTCCCAGGTGGGCAGCAAATGGCTCATATCCAGGGGACAGTACCCTGGGACAGCAGGGAAACCAGCGTGGGAGGTGAGGCCAGTGAGGAACAGGCCAAACCCAAGCCTCTGTCTCAGCGTGTCCAGGTGTATCCGAGTGTGTCTGAGTGTATCCAAGTGTATCTGAGTGTGTTCCAGTGTGTCAGAGCACAAGGGTCCAAGGTGAGGTGGGTGTGTTGACCGTATTTACTGTCAGTACTTGAAGGCTGCAGAGATGGCACAAAAGCCGAAGTTAAAAATAACTGAGCCCACTCTGTGTGGGACCATCCCTGGACAGGTATGAGGCAAAAAGGGATGATTAATTCAGCCAAGTTTATAAATTGCTCGGCAGGGCCAGGGAATTAGCCTGGTTGACTCAAGCGCTTGCCTGGTAAGTGTGAGGTCGTGAGTTTGATCCCAAAAAAATAAAATTAAATAAGTAAATAAATGGCTCAGCAGTCACTGCCTCGCCTGCACAACGCACAAATCCATCTGCATTCTGCCAGGCGAGCAGCCACCACCCAGGTACAGAACATCACGGCTGTCCTCCCCCTCACCTGTCCTGCTCGGCCCCAGCCCGTGCTGTCCACCAGCTGCCTGTCCTCTGCCTTGCTCCGCCTGCCCAGCCCCCTCCTAACCTGGTCCCCTCTGTCCCAGATGTGCCTCCTCCAGCCACCTTCCCCTTTGCCCTTCCTTCTTTCTCCCCAGAACCAAGCCTGGTGGCCCCAGGCTTGGTCCCATTGACCTGTCACCTCCAGCTAAGTATCTGTTTCACCTCCAGCTAAGCACAGACTGATTCCTAGGATTGTCAGGACAAGGGAATCAGGCCAGGTGTGTCAAGCAGCCAGCACAGTGCCTCTAGCCATGAGCCAGTACCCAGGAAAGGAAAGATACGATTATCCTCCTTTGCTGCAATGTATTTTTAAACTCCGACATGCAGGAAAGCTGCCCTCTAATTTGAATGTCACCTCGTCCCTCTGGTGGCACAACCATCGCCTCTCAGGACTCTGCCAGGTCCCTACCCTGGGCTGGGCATAAAGGAGACAAAGACACAAGCAAGCCTTGCTGAGCCCACTGTGCCGGGGAGATGGGGACAGGTGATCCAGGAGGGTCGCTAGGATGGCAATGAGGGAACCATGGAGGCAGGGAGCAGACTTGTCGTGACAAGACTCACAGATGGGCCTCCAGGTTGAGTCCTCTTTGAAAGGAAACAGAGCTCACTGAATAAGCAGGGCGAAACAGGCAAAAAGAACAGTGTGTGGAAAGGGCCCGTGCTGCGGAGCAGTTCTGGCCACTCGGGTTGGCAGAGCAGGTAGGAGCGGGGTCCTGAAGGACTCATCAGCCTCTCCCTCATCTCCCTCATCGTTGTCGCTGTCCTCCACCCTTCCCAGCCCCTGGGAAGCTGGTCCCTGCCCCGCCCCTGGCCTGGGTTATCTCCCTGCCCCATCACACAGAGGAAGTGACAGGGGCATTGTCACAGTCATGGCCCTGTGGTCAACCTGCAGCCTACCAGGGAGCAGAGAGGAGTCGGTGTGGAAGGGCCTGGTCAGGAGCCAGCCCCGTTCCCTTTGTCAGGGTCCCCCGTGTGTCCCTGTGCAGGTGCCCACCATGGGGGTCCCACAGTTGGGATGCTTCAGAAGATGACTCGCCCACCACAGGCTCCAGTGGGGGGGGGGGGCAATGCCTGTGGCAAGTGGAGCCTCTTTCGAGAAACATCCCTGCAATTAGGTCACCAGGGTTTACCGTGTGCTGCAGAGCAGCCAGGAATCCCAGGAGACATCCAGGATTTTGCCCATTTACTAAAGTGACAAATGCTTCAGTAAAGGAGAAGGTGAAAAGGCAGGAGCAGGAACAGGGCCAGGAGAATGAGCAGTTTGGTTCGATTAGGCTTGAAATGCCTCCCAGTCATTGAGAACATCCTAGGGCTAAAGGGAAGAGGAGATTAGCCGTCATCAACATACAAGGAAGTGCAGAAATCTCAGGAATGAATGACCTCACCCAAGAAGAGCAAGAGTGAAGAGAGCGGAACAGGACAGCGGGGGTGGAAGAGCCAAGGGGAACAAGAACAGAGTCTCCGTGGCCACCCTGTGCCTCCTCGCCCGCGGGGACCCCTGGGGGAGGGGAGCCCTGCACACCTCAGCTGCGTAAATCAGAGGGCACTGGAAGAGAGGCAGCCTCCGCGAAGTAATATCAGTATCTCTTTAGAAAAGTATTTATCAGTGTTTAAGGTCTCCAACATCACTAAGAGATCACCATTTTCTTTTATATCTTTCTGTGAGAAATCCTCAAAAGAAATCCTATCTTCTGGTCTTCCAACATACCCTACAAGGAGCTAGAAGGCATTCATTAGGAAATTTTAGTTCCAGGAGCTACGATTTCCACTTTCCTCTGAAATACTTGTTTTTCTGCTAGATGAAAATACCCAGTTGTTCATGTATGAGCAAAATCACACACACACACACACACACACACACATCACTGGTACTTATTTTTAAAATTCGTACCCAAGATAATATGAAAGTGCCAGATAAACAGAAGTGAAGCTCAATAACCCAGACTTTTCATCTAGGATCAAAGGCCAGCAGGAAGCCACACCTGAGCAAGGGGCCAGAGACACCTGGGCACAGGTGTTCTGATTCCAGGGGAAAGCTCATGTTTCCTCATCCCCGCAGGTCTGTGGCCCACACCACCCTGAACACACCCGGTCTTGTCTAATAAGCCTTCATCTCCTGGTTAGTGTTTCTCACCTCCTTTTTCCTTCAAACATCTGCTGGTCAGAGACCCGAGATCCTTTCCTATGTATGAAAGAGCCAGAAGGATCAATTTTCTTCTGTTAGGTAAATCCAAGTACTGAAAACCAAACACTCCAGCCTCAGAGGCCAGCCCAGTGCCAACTGTCACAACCACAGTACAAATTCATCATGAACCACAGCATCCCAAGAAAGAGTGTGAGATAAAGCCTTCTTAAAAATATAAAACCAACTACCATGCACGGAGGTGACCAAGACTCACAAACCAAGAAGATTGTGCCATTCCCATTGTTATCTGTAGGTGATGCTGGCAGAACAAAAAAAAAAAAAAAAAAAAATATTTCAAAAAAATAAGTAAAAATGTGCTATCTTCCATCCCCAATAAACTTGCCCCCAAATTATATTCTAGCAAAAGAAAAAATAACAAGGCTTATTTGCTAGACCTCAACCACACAGAAGAAAATAGCAAAACAAAGAGGAATCTAGAAGCAAGAAACAGAAAGTCCCAGCTAGTTCCCAGCTAAAGCGCCACTGATCTCTTCCACCTCCAAAGGCTTCCCACCTCCTCACCTTGGCCGGCCCTGGGCCCTGGTCCCTCACCCAGAGGGAGACTTCCCAGCCGTGCAGGAGCTCAAACTAGCATCCATTCCACGCCCAGAGCCCTAGGAAAGCCAGCTATTCAGAAAGCTCTAGTAATTGCATAGAAAACAAACTGGGTCTCCAGGGGCCACTCTTGAAAACCTGAGATCAACTCTCGGAAAATGTGCTCTTGACCACTTACCACCACAGGAAGCTGCTAGGTGGTAACCAAAATCAGCATCTCCACAGAAGAAAAACGAAGATCACACAAGGGGGCAGCTTCACCACCAGTGAGGACCCTGCTTGACACCAAGACTGGAAGCCCGAAGAGGCCCTCCCTGCACAGGTGTCTGCCGCGCCGCCAGGGCAGAAGTGGTTAACCGTGGGAGAGCAGAGCGGAACTCCCAGAGGCTGGCCTGGGGCGGGTGGGGCTGGCTTCCCCCGGGGAAGCAGAGTTCAGAAGGCCGGAGGTGAAGGATGGAAGGGACACAGCCACAACGCCGCTTACCCAGCTTTGCCAGCAGGACCCAGGAACACTACAGGTCCCACCTGTCTCCCAGAGATGGAAGAATTAGCAGTGCCAGCTTTGGGCTTTACTTTAAATCATCTAGAGGGGCGTGGAGGGGTAGAGGGGCGGCGTTGAACTCTCTGTGGATGAAAGATGACAGCACCCAAGCAACCTCCACCACTCCAGTGACACTTCTTCATTGCAGAGGAAGACTTAACCCTAAGGACACCAAAGGATTTAAATTTCTGAGTTGGGAATCACTTTGAAGCGCCCCCAAGGTGAAATTATATGAAAATAAAATATGTCCACGGATATCTGATTTTTCAAAAGGGGAACTATAGATAGCTCCTTTACATGTGCCTAAAGCCATTTAGGGCTTATATGGAAGTTGCATCAGATTCACTGGTAACTGCTGAAACTGCTGAGAATGTTTTAATCCTGTCTCTAGGAACAGAGCCAGCTGCTCCCCTGTGCCTTGTCAATGCCACCCCTGGCAACACCCCCAACCCAGCCCTTAGGTGTGCACAGAATACTAGAGAGAAAGAAACAAGGAAACCAGAAACTGCAGATTTCTAGAAACAAGTGAAAGTTTTCTTCTTATATGAGAAAGAGGGCCGGGAACAGCTTAAAGGAGGAAGCAATCAACCCTACAAAATATTTAAAATGGAAAACATCTCTAAGTGAAAAAAGAAAATTTAAAGATGGTCTCCACATCATTTTAAACCCAACATAAAGGAAAAAAGGAAAAAGACCAAAAAAACCATAAAGGAAATCAGCCATAAACCTGGGCACAAAAACAAGAGATACTGGGTATAAGCCATGCAGCGTTGTGCAAATTATTTAACAGTGATAAGTTTATTTTCTGGGTTGTAAAGCTGAGAAAAGTACAGCCTTCTTCTCTAGCTGTGGGTATGAAATGAGATATTTCCTCAGATGAATGACAGATAAATAAAACAGTGAGCTTTGCATAAATTGCATATGCAGCAATAGAAAAAGAACAAATAGCATACAACAGAGCGCTATCCACATAGTCCTTCCCTCACGAAAGTCAGCGTCAGCCTCTCTCCAAAATCTTCCCAGTGGCCCCCATATTCCCCTTCTTGGAAGACAAAGACATGTGAGTTCTGGCTACTACACATTGTCGGCTCTTCCATCCTGATCCAGCCACCGCCTCTCTTCCCTCCTAAGACAGTGGTCACCAAGCGCATCTTCCATATCCTTTCAGCCCTCTCTACTAAAGCACAAAACATAGACATTTGAAAAGGATGAAATCAATAAAGATAAACAGAGGGGTCTGCATTTTCTGTCACACCTAAGAGATTACTTTTCGCCCTCTCCCTCCCTTCTCTCCTCCCCCTCCCCGCCCCAGGACCTCCACCCACACTAATGGTGGTCCTGGCCCACCCCTCCTCTTCTGAGCGATTGAAACTGAATCACCTCCCACGGAAAAGCAGGTCCACCACATCCTGGAAATCACACGTCCCCTCATGATCTTTTCATTTCTAAAAAGAAAATATCATCTTCTAACCTCTAGTGGTTTCACGTATTATCTGGCACTTTCCAGGATGTTGTTGAACTCACGGTTCACCCGGAGAAGGTAACTCAGCTCAGTCTCTAGCCAGCTCCCCAGCAGCTACTTCCTGTTTGCCGGGTGGCCTTTTGTGAAATAAAGTTGGTTTCCTTCCATTGGCCAATATAAACGGACCCACTGTCCAGAGAACCACTTATTTTTTGTGTGAGATTTCCCACTGTCCAACGGGCTCACGGTGGACCTTTAGTTATCACTCAACTAATTCACCAAAAGAGAATAAGAGAAGTGAACGTGAGACCTTTCTTTCAGAGTAAGCCATGGACAGCAACCTGTATTTAGAAACAGACCAAGTTGGAGCTAGCTTGGACAACTTAGCAAGACCCTGACTCAAATTTTTAAAAGGGGTAGGGGTGGTAACTGGGGATATAGCTCAGTACTGGACTCTATTCCTAGTACCAAAAAAAAAAAAAAAGGAGTTTCTTAGGGTACTATTAAAATTCCAAGAATTAAAAATCAACTAAGTAGCGATGTAAGTCCACTACTACATTAAAACTAAACAGGTATGGAGTCCTTCAATAAATAAATAAAGCCACTCAGATTCCCAGCAGCTAAAAATCATTGCTAGGGAGCAACTCCTGGTATCAGTGTGGACTTCTCCTCAAGGGCTTTCCTGAAGATCCTTCTCCATGCCTGGGACACAGGACAAGGAACCCAGAGTCCCCTGTTACGCAAGCCCATTCACCAAAAGCAGGTGATTTGCATTTAGCCTGTCCTTTGCAAGGCATTCTGAACCATGTGTCCCAGAACTCCATGACCCAGCTCCAAACCAGACAGCCTAACCCCAAGCCAGACAATTGGCATCCCTAGCTATAAAAGTCATTCAAATAGTTCGCTTCCAAATACCCGATTGTCCGCGGCCAAAACCAGATCCTGGAATAGACTGTTGGCACTGGTGAGAGAAACACTTCCCACAGTGAAGTTTCTCTGGCTCCCAGGGAAGAACAGTGTCTTCTCTGCACATAATAAGTGCCCAAGAGAGGTTTTTTTGGCCTCTACTATTTTTATAGAGTTGACGTCCTAAGTGATCCTCCCACCTCAGGGTACTCACCAGACAGGAGTGGAAGATGCAATCTGGACCAGCTCTGGGCTCTGGGGTCCCGCTGTCCCCGGCAGCTTAGTTAGAAATATTCTAGGCAGTCAGGCAGGGCTGGGCCCTCAGAGAAGCCAGTGCAGAGGACCAGACACCTAGCAGCCTTGGACTAGACAGACCCCTCCCACTGTGGGCGAGACCTCAAGACAAAAGGCAAAGCAAATGCACCCACGCCCTAAGGATAAACACCAGGGATTGACATTCTAAATAGGTATGGGTCAACTTGAGGAAGCCAGGAGTCACCATCCAGACCCCCTGCAGAACAACTCATGGCTCTTTAAGCATGCCCAATTGTTATGATTGTTACAGGGACTCATTTGTCCCTGATTTGGTCAATTGTACCTGAACAATGAGTTTTACTGGCTGACCATAGTTCTGTCCCACCTCACACCTACTTGCCTTGCAAGTTCCCAGGTTTTCCCCACCTTGGACCTCTCTTACCTCATGATTTTGCTCTATAAAAGTCCCTAGAAAAGACAATCTTTGGCAACCCATTCAGGACCCCCGTCCCTCTCAGACAGAAGCTTTCTTACTCTCAGTAAACATATTCTGCTCTTAACCTCCGTTGTTCCTAAAATTCATTCTTCAATATTAGAGTACACTAACATATATTGACATCTAGTAGTTTGGGAGTGTCATTCCTCCGTATCACAGCCACCTCACAACCTTCGAGGCCCAGGAGCAGCTGGGCTCTCAGGTCCTTTTCACACTCATTTGTACCAATCTCCTCTGCTTGGTGGCTGTCATCCCAGCAGAAGGGCAGATCCAGGGACAAAAGGCTTTAAGGACTGCCTCACTCCATCTCCTGACTCCTTTGGTCTGGCCTGAGGATCATAGGATAAAAACTCCTCTCTTATTCGGTATGTGTGAAGTATGGGGTCAAATCCAGGCTCCAGATACCTCTAATCAGGAAAGGTCCCTGGAACGCTTCACATTCTTCTGGTTTTCCAAGCCCCGGTTCTGTATCAACCTCTCCACAAAGCACTGAAGATTCTAAAGTCTCTACCCTTTCAGGTGGAAGAAAAATGAGTTGTGACAGATTGTGATTCATGCAGTGAGAACTCTAACAGAGGTATCCAGGCTCCAAACAGGCTCTTGAGCCTGGAATGGTGATGCACACCTGTAATCCTAGAACTCAGGGGCTGAGGCAGGAGGATCGTTGCAAGTTTGAGACCAGCCTGGGCTACAAAGTGAGTTCAAGGCCAGCCTGAACTGCCTAGTGAGACCTTGTCTCAAAAAGAAAAAAAAAATGGCTTTGGCCCTACAGGAGTGGGAGGAGAGGTAAAGGAGGACACATGTCTGCGGTGGCGTGGTGGGGCCGGGGAAACCTCAGCAGAATGAGTGAAGCAGAATCCTGAAAGAGGGCAGGTGAGCTGGCTCCTTAGTCCAGGGGAGAAGCTGGTCACCCCTGCATCCTCCTCCAGGTCCCCTCCACCCCACCACAGATGCAGCTGGTCCTCTGCTACAGCCCCCACCCCAAATGGCCAATGTGAGCCCCAGACTCACCCTCAGCCCATCAGCGAAGGTGACTGATTCTAGTTCCTCATGGAGCAGAGACTGGGGAGGGTCTCTGAGGAGACAACACTGGGTAGAGCTGGAGGTGTCCTCACCTGACGGAGGGGAGC